ATTAATTTACCTGTTAGATGACGTAAAATCGTCTAGAGTGTCCACGGTTCATGGCATACCCGGTAACTTGTCGGAATCGTGTTGCGCCGTTTCGACTTCCACTGTGTGTAGCCTCCCGTACACTCCAATTTCTCACCCCTCTCTCTGTTGGGTTTTTCCAGCTATCTACCTCGTAGCGTAGAGGTTGATTTACTTACATTTTCAAAAAAATTAAACAAAAACATATTTAGCAGGTTGAAAGTGCGCTCACCGATTGGGCAGCGGGACCCACTTGTCCCGCAGTGCTTTGTGTAGCTCGTCCTAGAGCTCCGCAGTCAGTCGTTCAGTGGCAAAGTAGTATAGGCAGAAGGAGGGTAACTGCTAACGACTAGGGAGACTGGGATGGCCGTTTCTGACTTATTGACCGTCGTCAGCTAGTCCTACCCAAACCCGAGTTTGCTGCACCCAAGTTCCCATCCTTTGTTCTTTGGTCATCAAACGTTATTGAACTTAAAGCCCTACTAATTGGACCACGGGTTCGTTGTCCTATTGGTTACCATAGAGAAGGGTTAACTACACCAAAATTGCGCTCACCGATCGTATTATAATGGACACGCTCGTATCGTTTTGTTCCGGGACTCGATCTAGATTCCCGCTGGCAGTCGCATTTTAGTGGAATGAACTATTTACTGCTGACTTGTCATTCCCCGCTTGAATCTACCAAACACGTATTCCTTCCTCGTCAGTTCATCTTACTGAGGCAACTATGTTAGCTTTCTCGTCAAAATTCGGATTCGTCCGGGGGATGCCCCGCTCCCTAAGCTCTCTTGTGAGAGCATAAAACGGACAAATAATATTTTCCATGGTATTTTAACTCAATGCCTTCCATTTCGCTGGATATGTATATTTTTTATCTCTACTACACAGCCGAGTATGAGTACGATTTGTATCGTTTGGCTCTCATAAAGGTGTCAAAGAAGGAAACAAAATGCTGCGCTGAAAAAAACATCTTTTGCAGAAAATTGCTGAGTAAAATACCCTGACTGTTGATTACTTGT